TGTGTGTGTGTGTAGGGGGGGTTGTTGGTTGTTTTGTTTGTTTGAACCTAAACCTTATTTTTCAGATTGCTCGATTTTGGTCTTTACTCAGCTAAAAAAAATGTAAATAAGGCAGTACTGAATAGCTTCCTGGAGATTAGGGATGTAGTCCCAGCTGTGCCACAGTCCAGCTGCTTGATTTTTTGCAGTTATTTAACCATTTTGGACTCTAGTTTCTTATATGTAAAATATGTGGGTTCAACTAGAGTGAATGACTTGAGATGTCTTCAGCTCTGATAGTTACACCTCTTAGACCTTCTTCATTTCCAGTTGTTGTTTTAAAAATCAGCAACTAGAACTCATTAGAATGTTCCTAGTGTAGGTATGATATTGGTTTACTTTAATAATATCCAGTATCTTTTATCTCTTTTTACATTTTCTTTCTTTTTTTAATCACTTTTTGAGCACAGTAGTGTATTGGGTTGTTAGTTTCAGAATGTAGTCTTATATCCTTTTTTTTTTTTTGGTACCGGGGATCGAACTTGGGACCTTGCGCTTGCGAGGCAGGCGCTGGAACCACTGAGCTAAATCCCCGGCCCGAAGAATGTAGTCTTATAATTAATTTGTTAAATTTTTTTTGGTCTATTAATGTGAACAATTAATGATCTTAAGACAATTTTAACTTTTTACTTAATGTATTATCTTCCTAGCTTATATTAATTTTTTGACACCTTTTCTGCCTACTCATGCATCCCTGTCTTCCTTCTGTAATATCCCTCTGAGTGTGCCATTTCACTACCTAGAAGAGCTAAATATTACCTGTAGACTTCTAGAGAAATGTTACGATTCAACCCAATACTGACCCTGGAAATTCCAATGATAAATTCTTAGCTACAGAGAAGTACCCATTTTCTTCATATTAGACGAGTAGGCTAATCTACCTGTTAGAAACACTTCCCCCTGTATTTTCTTCATTACACTTGTCTCATGGTACGAAAAGGTGATTGATTGGTTCCAGAACCAAGGCAGACACCAAAATCTGTGAATGTTCAGATTTCTTACGTAAAATTGCATATAACCAATGCATGTCCTCCCGTATACTTTAAATCATCTCTAGATTACTTATAGTACCTAATACAATGTAAATAGCTCTTAAACTGTATTGTCTTAGGGAATGTCCAAGAGAAAATGTCTCTGCATGTTCAGTGTAGACACATTTTTTTCCCACAATATTTTCATTCTGTGGTTGGTTAAATCCACCAATGCAGGACTCATGGAAATGGAGTCTGATTGTATTTGTTCCTTCCTGTTGAGTATCTGTTAATCTGTATGCTGTGTTAGGTGGTCCTTATTCCGGAGGCATTCATTCTGTTTGGGAAAATAGGACCTGCCCAGTGCTGTAAGAGAGACGTGAGTGGAAAATGGGACGAAATATTACACGTGTTTCTTTTTTGTAAGACATTTTTTTCCCTTTGCTTATAAATTTGTTTGGGTTGCCTGGTCCTGCATCTAACCAATGAATGACAGGCCTTGTGAAGATTCTGGAGCATGAGCCAAGAATTGAGGGTATGGCCTTCTAATTTCCTGTGGTATTCATATAATGGCAGCCTCTTGTACCCCAAGAGGCAGATCTGCTATTATCTGATGCCTCCCAAGTGACTCTGAGACAGTGAGATGTAATTAATTTTAGGGTAAAGTGGTTCCTGCCTCATCTTTTAGTCTTCTTAATAGGCACTCAGTAAGTGATGCTGAATTAAGTTCTCAGCTGGTATTTTTCTACAATTTCTATGGATTTTATTAAGAGAGTTGATAAGGCTGCAGTACTAGGATACATTAGAAAAGATGAAAGAGATAATAAAATTTCACAATGAGAGCACGTATACTATCAGATTTGCCTTTGACCCTTCATTACCTAACATGGAGCCTGTCTCATAGTGCTTAATAAATGGGTGTTTCTTACTCCTTTGATTCTGTGTCAGGTTGTGGCTCTTTGTTGTACAGTATTGTCTTTGGCTTCCTGGTTGACCATAGGAGTTTGAGATCTAACTTAATTTTGTGTCTCTATGTAGGTTGTGCTTTTGCCCAGTTCATGACTCAAGAAGCCACTCAGAAATGCCTCGCAGCTGCTTCTCCAGAGACTGAGGTGAGGAAGGCATTTCTTTTTTCTTTTTGGTTTTTTTGAGAGGGTCTTGCTATGTAACCCTGGCTGGTCTTGACCTTGCAGCAATCCTCCCTCCTTTCTTAGACTCTTGAGTGCTGGGATTACAGGCATGCACCACCACACCCAGTTTAGGAAGGCATTTGTTTTGCTCTATAACTGGTGGTAAATTTATGACATGTATGCCACAGCAGGCTGTTGTATCATTGAAAGCTCTGAAAGGTTCATCATCACTACACTGTAAGATAGGAGATAGTGGTTCCTGTGGCCAATATACAGTGTTCCAAGTTTTATTAAGAATAAAATTAATACTGAGAACTTGGTGTTTGGTAGGCACCGAACTTTACATGTATTACTTTATTTAATCAGTATATCAGTCCTATTAGGTAGATAGAATTATCCCCATTTCTTAGTCCAGGAAACAGGTAAATAATGTCTGATATTGATTGCTGTGTGGGTGTCAGCTTCTGTCCTAGACTGATAATATGAACGACTAGAACGAGAAGGTATTAAGAAATCCATGAAGGCTGTAATCCCAGCACTTGGGAGGCTGAGGCAGGAGGATTGCTCTGTTTGAGGCCAGCCTGAACTGCATAGCAAGACCTTATCTCAAAAAACCAAAAAAAAAAAAAAAAAAGAAAGAAAGAAAGAGAAGTGAAGCACATGTTTAAGAGATAAAGTACGTATATTATTGAGAATGTTTTAATGTATTCTATGACCAAGTATACATTGTTTTGAGATTATTCTTTATTGCATTATCTCTTAAGTTCTCTTGAGTAGTTAGTACTACCATTTCATTAGCTTTATTTAGAATACTAAAAACTTGTCTGTTAACAGATCATTTTTCTCAATTTGGGCCTACTTTAATTCTAATCAACTCCCATAAAGTAATTCCTTACTGCTGATTACCCTCAGTACATTTTTTTTTTTTAAAAAATAGGGTTGTGCTATACAGTTCAGGCTGGTCTTGAACTCAAAGCAATCCTCCTGCCTCAGCCTCCTGAGTGCTGGGATAATAGGGATGTGCCACCACAGCCAGCTTGCCCTCAATATACCTTTTGCACAGCTAGACTCAATGCTGTGAGACTCAGGGATCCACTTGTAGCTGGCCAGGCTGAAACATCCTGGGGCGTGGCTTCCATAGCATAATTGTACTATGGTTCACTGATTCCTTTTTGTTGATGTTCCTTGTCAGGAGCTTAGTTTCTGCTCGTTACATATTTGAAGAGAGAATTGCAATCTGTTACAGGGTGGTGGGCTTAAACTGAATGGCCGGCAGCTGAAGGTTGACTTGGCCGTTACCCGTGACGAGGCTGCAAAACTTCAGACAAAGAAAGTGAAGAAGCCTACTGGAACCCGGAACCTCTATTTGGCCCGAGAAGGCTGTGAGTAGTGGAATGGGGTGGGAGCCAAGCTTTTAAGTAGCTGGCCTTGTGCCATGACAGTAAGCCAGCAATTGTATGTTTTGGAGCATGTTTCAAATAAAAAAAAAAAGACCAAATTTCTTCCTTTACTGGATTATGTTGTTATTCTACTTTAGTAGATATGGCTATTAGGCAGCTTTCACCCATTTTGTGGATTAACCAGTCTCATTATCTTTTGTGCCTGATTGCTTTTAGACTTTTTCATTAGAGGTTTGGCAAGGCAAAAAGGAAGGAAAAACTCAGATTATCTTTGCACCTTCTGAAGGAATTGAAAATTGTGACTAAAATTTCTCTTTTGGATTATTCATGAATTTAAAATGTGCAACTAGAACCTTTCCTTCATGTCAGAAGGGAAATCAGAAATTAGTTTGAAGTAAAAAAAAGGTCCCTTTTTCTAGGTCACATAGTATTTCTCAGCCTGCTTCCTGCCCAGCTGCCCCATCCTGACTAGTCATGTGAGGCACCAGCCTTTGATCTTAAGCCTCTATGGCAGTACGTCTATTCTCCAGGCTAGCTTGTCTTACTGCTGAATGATTGTCCCCCAACTACATGAGGAGCAGATAAGTTTCAGAGGCAGGTTATAGGTAGAACATTTTGTATTCTGAATGCCTTAATTGTGCTTATTTTCAGAACTTCCTCCACGCCTTTCTATGTAACACTGTGTATGTCTGTGAGAGGAGAGGAGAATAACAACAAAAATCACAAAATGTTCAGTGTTTTAGTCCTTGAGAGCAGCTCTTAAGCTCAGAACTTAGCCCTGTAACCTATTTTTGGACTTAACCAAATGTCACCATGTCCTGGCCAACATAGTCCTCTGGGCCTTGTACAAAGAGTTTGCATCATTCAAATCACATTCCTCCTGTTGCTCAGTGAAAATTCCCTTGGTAATGTCTTGGCCTTTTTTCCTTTTTCTGCAGTGATCCGTGCTGGGACGAAGGCTGCTGAGGGTGTGAGTGCTGCTGATATGGCCAAACGAGAACGGGTAGGTAGTTTAGCCACCAGCCTTCAGGTTCTGCATAGTTTGTAAATCAATCAGAAACAATTACTGAATGCTGTATTTGCTCACCAAAGAGCCAAGTGTAAGGTACAGACCTTCTTTACACTCTTGTTAGAGAGAAAAGCACACAGGTGAAAGAGCAAATAACCTGACATTATTTGTAGTATTATATTGGTGTTATATGCCATTGTAAGAACTGGTCTTATTCTGGTTTACCTAATTCTCAGTAGTAAAGTTTTGCTGAATAACATGCTCCCAGATCGTGCAGTAGACACAGAGGGACTAGGGCTGTGCATGATTGTCAGCATAAACATAGAATAATATTGGAAAGGAAGATCAGTATGGCCTGGAGGTACTAGGATAGGGAGGAGATGTGGATTTTGTAAGGAGTGACTAAACTGCCAGTTGGGAGGTGTTAGTATCTCCAGATTATAAAATCACTTCAGGTAAAGTCTGTATTGTAGGGGTTTCCACTGTTAACTGATATCATTAAGTTCTCTACTCCTTGGCAAGTTCAAGGTCCTGAGTTTGATTCCTGGTACCCCCAAAAAAGAAAGAAAGAAAGCCTAGAAAGGTGATAGTAGTGATAACCCTTAGCAGAATTAGCTAGAACTTAAAGTGCAGAAAATGCTGAGCAGAGATGAGAATATAGTGACAGCCAGAAGCATTGGCTCTTTTTTCACAATGCATAGGTTCTATAGTAGCGTTCTCAGCTTTTTTGGTAGTAAGCATCTGGAAATCATGGTATTTGGGGGAGCATTGTATGCCCCTTTCTGACCCCAGTGCAATAATGACATACTGAATTTTAGAACTAATTTTGTTAGCAAGAAGCTCACTAGATTATATGTATGCATTATAAATTCACAGCAGGCACGGCTCTTTCTGGGAGAAAAATAATCTGTTGAACTTAGACATGATGGTCTCTTCAGATGTCCCTTTAATATTCTTTCCAGAGTATTTGTTTATTTTGCAATTTCTGAGTACCTTTACCAAATAAGAAGCAACAGGAATGAGAAGACTTGATAAAAGGAAAAAAAGAGAGCTTTTTTTCTACTTACCTAGTTTTAAAAAAACAAATTAGAATATCATCCTTCATTTCTCTTCAGAGACAGGTCACCAGGGCACTAGTGTTTGTGGCAGCGCCATTGAGGGAGCAGTGTTAAGAGCAGAATATGCTTGTGTAGTTATGGACAGGACTTTGCCTCAAGGTGGCAGAGTTGAGATGAGACACCTTTCTTTCAAGTATTGTCTAAATGAGTTCCATTTCCTTTTGGAAGGAAGCACTAGATAATTATTTTGAGTTAGTAGATAGATGAGGACCAGAAATAGATGTTAACGGCAGTATTATTTCTTATTTATTGGGGTCACATTTATTTATATGGGTCACATTTTGAACTTGGAGTTTTTTCTTTTATAATCTCATTTTGGCCTCACATCAGTGCTAAGAGATTCGTATTATGTTTTCATCTGCAGTTCCATTATTTGGATGAGAAATCAAGTCTCTAAAATTTTGTGTGACAGTTGGAGGTGGTGGCACATACCTCAATGTCAGCACTCAGGAGGCTGAGGCAGGTGAATTGTGACCTCGAGGCCATCCTAGGCTACATAGCAAGTTCAGGTAGTGAGACCCTGTCTCAGAAAAGACAAAAACAAAAAGATACCATGTGATTTCTCCAGTTCAATGGCTTTCTAGTTTAGACTTGAGGCTGGAACCTGTGATTTTACCACCCAGTATCTTGCCTCTTTGAACCTTCCTTTTCCTATGTTGGGTAAAATAAGGCTGTAAGGGTGGGCAGTTTCCTTCCTTTTTCTGTATGTGTGGTTTTATGGGATGGGGACCTAGTTCTCTCCTTTTGGAGAATTATGAACCTGCCTTTTAAAAGGTGGATTGTACTGTTAACAAGTTTTTGGTTTTAAATTTTTTTCAGTTTGAGCTACTGAAGCATCAGAAACTTAAGGACCAGAATATCTTTGTCTCGCAGACCAGGCTCTGCCTGCACAATCTTCCAAAGGCTGTGGATGACAAACAGCTTAGAAAGCTGCTGCTGAATGCCACTAGAGGGGAGAAGGGGGTACACATCAAGGAGGTGAGTATTGCTTTTCCCTTTCAGAACTTTGTTCTCCTAGGTTGGACCAAGTGTTTGTTTCTGTCTGTGGTGCCGGCTTGTCAGCAGATTTTCTTCTGGACATATTGTCAGCATGCAAGGCTGAGTTTGGCAGTTTTCTTGGTTTTGGTTTTTTCTTCTTAGAAAAACTTAGGAGAACTGTCTTTTACATCTGACCAAATTCCAGCAGAATGTGAGGAAGTATCCTCATGAATTAATTTAGCAAGTATTTATTTTGGGGTGTTTTTGTTTGTTTTTTGAGACAGGGTGTCACTATGTAGTTCAGGCTGGCCTCGAACTCACGGCAATCCTCCCACCTCAGCCTTGTGAGTGCTGGGATCACAGGCTGTGCCACCATGCCCCGCTAGCAAGTATTTATTAAATGCCTGCGTTTCCTCAGCATTGCACTAGATGGTGTAATATGATTGCAGAGAAAATAAGAGCATTTTACTAGGAGTTAGGCTCTTACCTGATGGGAAGTACCCAGTGGTGAGCAGAGGGATCCGTGCACACCTTCAACAGTTGAATTAGAGAACACTGGGTTCCCAGCAGGACTTGATTTCACCGTCTGTGAGTACAGAATCCTCTCTTCTGCCCCCATAGCACCCTTCATGGGTCACTTTGGTACCACTTAATGCTATACTGGCCAGAAATTGTCAACCACGCTGATCTTTGGGCAAGTGTTATCTTATTATCTCCAAATCTTTGGTCCATCCTGGCAACTGGTAATCTCTTAATCAGTATTTATTGTAAATGTGCCATTGCTAATTGGGTCTGCTTTGCTCTATTCCATCACCATAAATGGTGTTCCTCATCCCTGAAAGTTCCAAAGGCATGCTTTGGGATTGGGGAGATGACGTCGGAGAATGTGAGTATGTCAGCACATATCTCACCCCTGCTCTGAGTGTTATTGGCATAGGGGTCATTTGTGTAATTTCTCATGTCAGCATCCACCATAATTAGTGTTTGTACATTTACAACCTGTTGTAATTTAGAGAAATTTCTGTGTATTCTATACATACTGTATACTGATTATCTCTTAATTCTTTTGTTGTTGTTGTTGTTTTTGGTACTAGGGATTGAACTTGAGACCTTGCACTTGTGAGGCAGGCGGCAGAATCACTGAGTTAAATCCCCAGCCCTTAATTCTTTCATTTGTTATAAGTATGGTGTTTCTGCAAGATAGTGTCTTAAAAACAGGAGTTTGTTGGATGCTTCTCTTGATTCCCCTGCAGTGCAGAGTAGCAGAGTAGCAGCATGTAGGCTCAGAGTGGGTACTGGATATAACCCAAGGGTTACATCCAAGTCTCCCCTGTAGTTAGACATCTCCATTACATGAGAACAACAACTCAGGGATAATCCCATGTAAATAATCAGTTTTCTCAAAATAGCCTATGAAACCTCAGTGCCCCAATGTCTGCTACATCCTGCTTTAGGATTTAGGGAAAAATCTTGCCAGAGAGCACTTGACCCCAAGCAAAGGAAGCTGAAACTTCTTGTATTTTTGAGGCTGCGTGCTAGGGCGACTTCTTCCTATGCCTGAAATGTTTTCATCGTTTACAGTCATTAGGCCTCCTTTCATTAGTTTCCTTTCCAGGGGCTTTCTTCAGTGATGAGAGCTATAGGCAGTTCTCCACTCTCAGTGATGACTTGTTATGTAACTTAAAGTACCATGTACCTCTTAGCTTGTATGTATTATGAACAGTTAGTTATTAGGAATTTTCCTCAGGAAGTCTTCTTATATTTATGTGCTTATTTGTAGGTCTGTGTTGATGTTTATAAATTCTTAGAAAGCAAGAAAATACCTAATCTGTTTTGTGCTCTCAGTAGGTGTATTCTAATTAGATGGAGTTATTCCAGTATTTTTTTGTTATGATGGCATAAGTGAAGATTCTGTTTCTATAAACTAGTTTCCTTCCGCTTCCCCTTCCCCTCCCTCCCTTCCTTCTTTCCCTTTTTTCCTTCCCTGAGGTGCTGGGGATCAAATCCAGTGTCTTGTACATGCTAGGCAAGTGCTGTAGCACTGAGCCACACCCCCAGCCCATAAGATAATTTCTCATTGACTGCATTAAAGTACTTCATGTTAGTCAAGGCTTCTTACTTTATAATTACTGCTTCTTTTGTTCTACTCATAGTGTAGGGTAATGCGAGACCTTAAAGGAGTTCATGGGAACATGAAGGGCCAGTCCCTCGGCTATGCTTTTGCTGAGTTCCAGGAGCATGAGCATGCCCTGAGAGCCCTCCGCCACATCAACAACAACCCAGAAGTCTTTGGGCCTCACAAGGTTAGTCTCATCATCTGGGGAGAGCTGGTTTCTGAGGGCCAGCTGCAGAAGGTCTATTTTGTCTACTCCCTGTTTCCTCTGACACTAGGGTGGTGGGAACAAGTAGCAAGTGGGCAGGTGTGGGGGCGGAATGAGTGGCAATTGTAGGTGATAAGAAGATTACCAAGAGCTCTAAACTGGCTAGGCTGCTTATAGAACTGGCCCTTTACCTGCAAGTAGAGAAAGTGAGCAGTGACCTCTGTGTTGCAGGAGGAGGGGGGGGGGGGGACAACTCAGCTCCTTCTACTCAGATTAAAGTCTGATTTGCCTGAGGTCCTGGGTTCAATTCCCAGCATGGATGGGAAAGTAATGAATAATATTTTGTCTCCCTCTGATGCAGAGACCAATAGTGGAATTCTCTTTGGAAGATCGAAGGAAACTTAAAATGAAGGAACTGAGGATCCAGCGTAGCCTGGTACAAAACTTAAATTGTTCTTTATTTTTATTATTATTTTTAAGGACATAATTAAACTTTAATTTTGTTCAGTTTGTGATTCTGTTCCCTTAGAGTGGTTCTCTCCCCAATTAGGAATTTTGACTTTTTCCTCTCAGTTCCCTAGCACTCTCTAGGCCATCTTCTCCTTGCTAGCCCATCTTGTGTTAGGACAGAGGAGAGGCAGACCAGTGTTCTTAGTAGTCATTAGTTTTTGTATAGTGTTTGGTGTGAGCCATGGTGAACCTAATGGCTGAGGTGAAGGTTTTACATCACCTATGGTTTCAGCTGTCTCTTCCCGAATTCCTTTTTCTTCTTTGATGGGTCCAGAAATGTGATGCCTGATGCTTTTAGTACTGTTTCTAATCTTGTGTGGTAGAGAGGGATAACAGGGACTTTGGGAACAGAAATACTTGCATTCAAACCCTAGTTCTGCCCCTTTTTTGCTACATGTTCCTTGGCAAATTATTTCCTCTCTCAGCCTATTTATAAGATAGGGTAACAACATCTGTCTCACTTAACTGATGAGGATTAAGTAATTGTCATTGCCTAGCTTGCTCTATGCTCAGCATGGATTTAGTACTCGTTCTCTTGCCCATCTTTCCCTAGAACATGCAGGGCCAGATTATTGTGGATTACATGACTATTGCAGCTCTCACCAATGTCATATCTTAACTTTCCTATGTAGTGAACATTTGTAGTCTTTGTGATGTGTGCCAAGAACATGACCAATGGGTGAGTGATTTCAGTGGTTAAAACAGTGATTCTGGGTTAGAGAACCTGGGAGCTGGTTATTGTTCAGATCGGCCTTTTACCTCAGCTAATACAGCTGTCTCCTGAATTTAACCATTGTTTCAGGGTGACCTGTATTATTTGTTGCCTACTTGGATGCACATACTATGCTTTCCCCTGACTTAGAAGGGTACTTCTCACCTTCCACATTCAAATCAGATGAGCCTTCCTCAAGTAGCCTTCTCCCACCTCTCAGATAAGTCCTCATCACTTGGACTTTCCTGAACTTCTTTAAACAGTTTTATTTTTTTAGTTTGCTTTACTCGTGAATGCATTTCTTATCTCTACCCAGCTATGAATCCTAAAATGTAGACACTTAAATCTTTTATATCTGTTTCCTTGCCATTTAGAAACAGTCTGGCACATAATAGGCAAACAATAGATGTAGGTTGTATCAGTGCACTTATCTGGATCTTTAAGGTAAGAGGGCAAAATAACAAACACTTATTTAAGTTAACATTAATTTCTCTTGAATCTTCTTCCATTTTTATTGCAAATAAATCTGATACTCTTTTAAACCTTCGTTGTTTGAAACCATAGCATCTTTTCCTAGTCTTCATTTATTCTTTCTCTAATGCTGTTCCTTTCCTTATCTAGGTCTGAGTTTTTGACTTACATCATTTTCCTTCTCTCTGAAGAAATTTGTTCAGCATTTCTTGCAAAGCAGATCTGGTAACACATTCCTCAGTTTTTCTTTGTCTAAGAAGTTCTTTATTTCTCCTTCACTTTTGAAAGATAAATTTTTTGGATACAGAATTCTAGGTTGGTGATGTGTATATATATTTTTCTTTCAGGACTTTAGATATCTCAGTCCACTCTTTTCTTGCTGTGCGGTTTCTGAGGAGAAATGAATATAATCTTATCCTTATTTCTTTATATAATATGAAGATAGCCCCTGACTTCTTTCAAGATTTTTTTCTTTAAGATTTTTGTTTTTGCTATTCTATAGTTTGACTCTGATATGTTCAGGTGTGGATTTTTTTGTGTGTTTATCTTTTCGTTTTTGTCTCAGTACCTAGACCTATGACTTCATGTCTATCATTGAGTTTGAAAAATGCTTAGCCTTTATTACTTCACTTCCTCTGGTGTGGTTTTCTTTCTTTTCCTGGTTTTCCTTCCATGTGTGCTACAGCTTTTGTAATTGTCCCCTCACTTCTGCCTTTTGAGTCTTGGGTGAATACTATACTCTATTTCTATGATATGGGAAGGAGAATGGTTATTTTGTATCCACTACCCAGTAACCCGCTGGTACAATGGCAGGGCTTCTGAACTTTAGGCTCCAGCTAAGTGAGGGAAGAATTCCCCTTCTTTCACCACACTCATATAATGCTCCTCCTCTGGTGAGTATTGACAGCAAACTTACCTCATCCAGAAGCCAGATAGCAGTTTCTTATTTTATGCAGCAAAAAATGAAATCGAAGGCTGCAACTGGTGAGCCTCAAAAGCAGAAGAAAGAGCCTGTAAAAGAGAAGCAACAGAAGGCAGCTCAAAACCACACACAGGATCAAAGCAAGGGGCCCCCAAGGCAGAAGGGGAAGATGGGCTCCACCTCATGGACAGGGTTCCAAACCAAGGCTGAAGTAGAGCAGGTGGAATTGCCTGATGGAAAGAAGAGAAGAAAGGTCCTGGCGCTCCCCTCTCATCGAGGCCCCAAAATTAGGTGAGATGCAGGAGGGCGGCACAGAACAGGGTGGCTTCCATGCTCGTTTGTTTTTATGGAGTTCTTTTCCTCTTTGTGGCATTCATTTGGATGCAAGATGCTTGGTCGTGTGCCAGGCCCACCTGGGAGGGGGTTGTTAATACATAAGGCTGTATCAGCAGGGCTGTTACTCTTGAATCACATAGTAGAGAGAGCCTCAGAGGAGCCTTCCAGGACAGGGTTTGAAGCCATTTTTCTCTTTTGACAAGCTTCTTCCTCTCCAGATGGCCAGCTCTGTCAGCTGAGGGCACATAACTTGACGCTCACCTGTAATTTGTATTTTTTTTTTCTGGTACTAGGGATTGAACTCATGACCTTACGCTTGTGAGGCAGGCACAGTGCCACTGAGCTAAATCCTCAGTCCTGTAATTTGTATTTGAGACAACAAATTTAGTGTTGTTTACAAAAATGGATCTTTATGAAATATTTGTTAAGCCAATAAAAGTTTTTGTGATTTCTATGAAGTTTTAAGTAAAAACAAAAAAGCCCTCTGAAATACAAAACAAACAGTAAGTGTGCATGGAACCATAGGATAGTCTGTTGCAGGATCCCATTTTAGAGCGACGGAACTTATCCTGGGCTTAGAAAGAACTATGTTAAAAAAAAAAAAAGAATTTATCTCTTGAGCTGAGAGAACTCAGAAGGACTCAGGGTGACATTTGGCCATCTTATTCCAGGTTGCGAGACAAAGGCAAAGTGAAGTCCCTCCCTCCCAAGGAGCCAAAGCCCCAGATAAAGCAGTGGAAGCAAGAGAAACAGCAGCAGTCGTCCAAGCAGGTGAGTTCTGCAGGGCATGTCGTTATGGTGTGAGGAGACTCTGCTGTGCGCAGCACTTGGTGCGCTGGTCAGTTCAGCACTCAGGCTTCTTGGGTTACAGCTACATGCAGGGCTGTGGCTCTTGAAAGGTTGTGTCTGCTCTTATACATGTGCTTTATATTTCCTAAATCTCTGTTCATTATTTATTATATACTATCTACTCTTTCTTATAGCCTTTTTTTTGAGACAAGGTCTTGTTATGTAGTCCAGGCTGGCCTCAAACTCACAGTGATCCTCCTGCCTCAGCCTCCTGTGTGCTGGAATCACTGTAGCTTTTTGTTTGTTTGTTTTGGTACCAGGGATTGAACTCAGGACCTTGCACTTACAAGGCAGGTGTGGTGCCACTGAGCTAAATCCCCAGCCCTAGGGATCACTGTAGTTTTAACAGCCAAAGAGTAGTGTTATGTTAAACCATTATCTCATTATGGGTTGCATAATGGTGATTTTCTAGTTCAGACATTTATTTTTAAATATTTTAGTAGAATTCTAGAAAGAAGAATCTTAGTTACCACAAAGTACCATTTGTATTGGAAAATCAGAGGAAGTGCTTACTTTTTTTCCTCTCTTTATTGGGTTTCCAGAGTAATTGCTCTACCAACCAATAGGATTTTTTTTATTATGAAGTCCTAAGTTTCATATACTCGATGTGTTTTAATCAGTTATAGTATTATTCTTATCCTGATCTTAGGCTAGCACAAGCTTCTTCAGGTTGGCTCCCGAGTCCTTCCGACATGACCTTTTTGTTCTGGGAAGTGTTCTTGCTTTCTAGTACAAGAAGTCCCAGATTGATTTTATATGCTTCTTCCCCAGTCCTGGCATTAACCATTTTTCCAAAGAGCCTTAGTTCTTTTTATTGGGAAATATTGGTGCTGTGTTCTTGAAAATTTGAGATCAAGCTTTATTTTCTCTTCCCTAGTCCATCTCCTTGAAGGGTGAAAGAAACATCAACTTTGCATCCTATTTAAGAAATCTCTCTGGGAAATTTTTGACTTTGCATACTGTATTCTAGGATCTCTGTCTGAAATTCCATAAAGTGGTAGTACTTTTGGTAAGCGCAGAGGCAGATGAGGTTCCAGATGCTGGGTCGTGTTGAGGTGAAAGTGAGCATTTGGGAGCTAGAGTGAGAGAGGCCTCAAAACACCCAAATAGCACTTTAGTTGGGTCCTGCTGCCATGCACTCTTGGTCTGATCCCAACCACTGCATGATTCCTTTTGAGCTTTTCTTTCCAGAGGTCTCTCTGGAAGCCCACTTCTTCTGGTAAACATAATATCTGTACCTACTTGCTTTTTGTCTTGGGTGGCCTGAAGGTAAAGTGATATTTAGAGTTTAAAAATAATTATCTTCTGCCTCTTTTATTTTCTTTTGTAGGTTCCAAGGAAAAAAGCTAAGGGAAATAAGATAGAAGCTCACTTCAACCAGCTGGTCGAACGATATAAGCAGAAACTGTTGGGACCTTCTAAAGGTGCACCCCTTGCAAAGAGGAGCAAATGGTTTGATAGTTGATGCAGCTGGCAGCCTGGTTAAGAAACTTTCGGGTGAAGCTCAGAACCCCGGTCTACCTCTGTATCTGTCACTGAGGGAAAGAAGATCCCTGAGGATCTCTCTGTTGGGAGACTTCTTGGGCTGTGCACTTCTGAACTTTGATCCCCCTCTGATGTGTCCTTAGTCACAAATACCCCCAAAAAGTCATGATGTTTCTTGCATATTATCCATATTATTGTCTGAAGTTGTATGTATGATTATTACTCATTTTTTTATTCTCTGATTCTCAAATGAAAACAATTGTAAAACATTCTGGAGTACTGAATTTTTAAGATGTATATTTTGTTAGGCATCCTCTAAATGAGATACTGTGTGGCTTTTTGAATAACAGGACTGGGTTTTATTTCTAATATATGTAAATTTTTTATTATTTGTGAATATTTTTGACATTCCTGACTAATTCAATTATTTGGTCCTGTATACTTCAGGAGTTGACTAAATAAGAACAGAAAAATGCACACTAACCTAATCTCTGCAGGTGGGGCACACTGAGTTAGCAGTTGAGGGTAGTAATTCTGGCGCAGAGCAGTACTTCCTGAGTGTCTGCCACACGAGGGGAATGGATGGTGGCTGACATCAGTTTGCAGTGGTACAGATGCTTGCCTGGCCCGTGATGCCCTGCAGTTCCCTCATGGAGCACTTCCTCCTAGGGACTCAGAAGTAGTGGGTGTGGGAAATGGCAGTGAGGATGAGGCCCAGGCTCCAGCCTAGGTGCCATTATTCTGTGGATTTTCTTCGGGTCTTAGTTTCCTCATCTGTAGAATAAGCAGTTTAAATGTTGCCTCCTAGTTCTAAGCTCTTCTAGTTTATCCTTATCCATATTCAAATTTGTTCTCTTTTCTAAAGAAAAACTCAGATGCAGGTAAATATTAGGGAGTCAGGGTCCACAAGGATCCTGCTGACATGAAGAATGGGCAGAGTTTGAAAGGGGAAAATCACTGGGGACAAACAAATCCTGTGTCTGGGTCTACAAACCTAGCTGCATAGCTTCTGGTGGGAGAATCAGAGTCATTGAATTCCTGTTACAAAGCAGCAGCTGGGCCACCGCAGGCGTAGTGGGACTTTTAGGCTGTCTCAGTAGATATTTGAGGTCTCAAGTGAGGTGCTGTATTCTGAGCTGGTCAGCACTGGCAAGACAAGTGCTGTGACCCCATAAGTGAAGGAAACCAAAATACCAGATGCAGCTGGTCATGGGCAAGTGGAAATTTGTTATCCATTGTTCTCTCTGCTTCTGTGAGCATTTGAAATTTTCCATAAGAAAAAGTAAAAAAAATAGATGAGTAGCTGAAATAAAGTGTACGGGCCTGCCTTAGAATGGAGTTTGTAGGCTGTAATAGATATGAGGAGAGTCCAGAAGGGTGTGTGGAAGCAGATACATAAAAGCCATAGGGAATCAGTTTGGTTCAGAATGAAGAAGAGCTTGTTTGTTAATTTTTGTTTTGTTTTGTGTTTTTTTTTTTTTTGGTACCGGGGATGGAACTCCGGTTCTTGCGCTTGCGCAGCAGGTGGCGAAACCACTGAGCTAAATCCCCAGCCCAAGGAAGAACTTTTAAATGTAGTTGTCAGAGAAGTATAAGTCCCTCTCTGGGATGATCTCAGTGTAGATGATCACCAGTGCCACAGAGTTATGCTAGAGGAGATGGTAAGGATCAGTCAGGTCATTAATGTTTGGTCCCAAGATGGACCTGAAGACCTGCCTCATGTCTCACCCTAGTCCCTGAGGCCCCTTTCTAGAGACTGTCTGGCTACCCTTATCTATGCAGTAGCCTCCATACACTCCATCCTCATTATCTCTGCTTCTTGAGATAGTCTTAGCTCCAGTGGTTTCTTTTTTTTATGGTACCGGGATCGAACTTGGGTCCTTGCGCTTGCGCAGCAGGCGGCAAAACCACTGAGCTAAATCCCCGGCTCTCCAGTGGTTTCTTATCTCACTTTGACTAGAATCATAACAAGCAGGGTGCTGGTCTCTCCAGTCCAAACATCTCTTCTACCTTGTCTTTGTCCATTGTCTCCTCTATTCATTTTGGCCACACAGGCCTACCTTTAGTTCTCTTGACTCTACACCTCAGGGCCTTTGTGTCTGTTCCCGATACCTGGAGAGCTTTTCTCTGGGTTATTTGCATGTTTCTTAGCTCTTCACTGAGCTGTCACTTTCTTCTGGAGCACTTCCTTGATTATTTAAAGCAAGGCTTTTTTTTTTTGCCTCCCTTCTGCCCAACCCCTTACTGAATTGTCTTTTGCCTTTCGTTTTCTTCCTGGCACTAATCACTATGTAAAATCATTTGTCTCTCCAGTTAAAATAATCTGCTTTGGAGAGAGATTTTCTCTCGTTTGCTTCTGTGGAAACAGGACCTAGTACTGAGCCTGTCACCTAGTAGGTATAGAATACATATTTATTGAATGAAAAAAAAGATAAGGGAGGAGGGGAAGAGAGCAAGAAACAGTACTCAGTAGACGGGAGAAGTTGGAAACATAGGCCAGAGTGCTTGATTCCTACCCAGTGCTACAAATGACACTTTCAGGGAACCATTGCTGAATTAGAGATTGGGGCTGTTTCATGGCAATGTCTTAGGAAAGAGAGGAGGCCATGGAAATTTTTAGACAAGGTCTTGCTATGAGATGAGGTTCAGGGTACTCTTGAACTCGCTATATAGCCCAGGCTGGCCTTGAACTTGTGGTATTCCTCCTGGCTCAGCCTCCCGAGTGCTGGGATTATAGGCCTGTGCTACATAAAATGTATATGTGGTTATATAAAGGATTTACAAGGTAGGCTTATAATGGCTACCTTCAGAATCAGGAGTGCAAAAATGTAAAATAGCCGCCCATGTGCTGAACGGCCAGAGGATTTAGTCATAGGTAGAAGGCCTCAAGCTCACTGCAGAGTTCAACACAAGTCTGTGTTGGAAAACCAAAGGGTCCGGGTTGGAAGGCTGAAGAAACTGGAGATGATGGCCAAAGGCAATGGTGAAGATTGGAGCTCCTTCAAAGAAGAAAAGGGAAGACTTCTTTCTCCTTTTGTTCTGTCCAGGCTGTAAGCCTATTGGTCAGTGCCACACACATCCACATGGGTCTTCCCTCCTTAGTTTACAGCCTATGTGTCAGTCATCTGCAGACACACCCAGCACTTTAGGAATCGGCTAGGTAGTTCTTACGTTGAGTTGACATATTATAATTATCACAGTCACCTTGGGACAGACTGGAAGTTTCAACCATTCTTACAAGAGCCTAGCAATTCATCTGTCCTAAATGTTAGAGGAAGAAGGCCCTTTGTTAAGGGTGCCACAATGACTACAACCTGTTTGTGAGTTGATCTGTTTGCACTTGGCCAACTCTGTGTCTGCTTACGACTTTTTCACCAGTATACAAATATCCTTAAGATTTGAAAATATATCTTAATACTTAGAATAGAATTGGTGTTCTTTCAGATAGTTGTTGCCAGATTCTCTTAGATCCAAATATTTCTTCTAACAGCTTTAGCAACCCAATGTGTTAAAACATCAGCCAGTTGCTTGGAAAGTTATTATTGCAGTTTTTTAAAAAGAGTAATATGAGGACGAATTATCTACTTTCTCAACAACCGGATTCCATATGTGGTTCTCTCCTTTGGGACACCTTCCCATGGGTTCTTTGGTCAGTTCATTGAACCCTTGCCTTGTGAGTATTAATGCCATGAGAGTGTGCTCACTTCTACTGTACTTTACTTTATTTGTTTTCTTTTTCTTTTTTCTGGTACCAGGAATCAAATTCAGGACCTTGTGCTTGCCAGGCAGGCACCACACCATTGAGCTACATCCCTGGCTGTACTTTAAAGCCTGATATTTCAGGAAATGGGGCTTTCTGAATTAACATAAAGGTTGAGTTACAGACTACTGGGTTAATAACAACAGTAAACATTTTTGTTAATGTCAAAGCCTGAAGCCCATCAGTCAAAATTACCAAATTTCAGTTGCATTTTTCTGCTTGATTACACTCAGAAGTAACACATCTAAAGACTTAAGATGGTGTGCAACTGTTTCTTTGCCTTGGTGATTTCTTTTTTCTCTTGTGAGTACTGGGAATTTAACCCAGAGCCTCACACTGAGCTCCATCCCCAGCCCTTTGTATTTTTTATTTTATTTTATTTATATATTTTTTTCCTGATACCAGGAATTGAACTCAGGACCTTGTGCTAACCAGGCAGATGCGGCGCCGCTTAGCTACGTCCCTAACCCCTGCATTTTTTATTTTGAAACAAGGTCTCACTAAGTTGCCCAGGCTGGACTCAAACTTTTGATCTTCCTACTTCAGCCTTCTGGGTAGCTGGAAGTAACATATGTGTGCCACCATGTCTTGTTAGTGATCAGTTATTGAGGATGATGAAGTTTAAGGACAACTCTTTTCTTTCTTGCTCAAGCTCATGTCTGTCACATTAGGTGGTTTAACAATGTCAGTTCTTCTCAGTTTCTATTCCATGTTTTTTCTCTCCTGCGCTATTGTCTAAGCCTCAGTCCACAAACAACTCCCCTCAGATGTTGCTTAATCTGCCTTATAGCCAGAGCCCCTCCCATTACTGTCCCCCTATCACCCAAGAGACTCTAGTCATGTGCAGAATTGGATAGCAAAAGCTGAATGCAGGAAACTCAACCATAAGAAATTGGCTCTCAAGTGTTCCCCCCTCAGCCTGTCTCGCCAGCTCTCCTCTTCCTCTTCTCTGGGCCTGATGCTTCATTGTTCATGTATTTTTCAGCTAAGAGAGACTCAAACACCATGCTTTGGGTGACATTGTCCCTTTGGATGCTACCACAGGAAACATGCTATCTTCGTGTTCTGGCCTATGGTGGGGAAGACCCTATCGTAGTACTTGGCACCTAGGATGGAGGGAGAGGCCCAGGACATTGTTCCTATGCTTTTTTTTTTTTGGTACTGGGGATAGAACTCAGGACCTCGTGCTTTCAAGGCAGGTGTGGCGCCACTGAGCTAAATTCCTGGCCCTCCTATGCT